GAGTTGGAGAGAGAATAGCAGGTAAGGGTCTTGCCTTGCACTGACGGAACCAGGTTTGATTGCCAGGAGTGATGCTGGGAATTCCTGAGTGCAGAGCCAGGAGTAAACCCTAAGCATTGCTGGGTCTAGCCTAAAAATTAATCAATCAATCAATCAATCAATAAAATCTTTGAGAACAAAGCCAGAGCAGAAAACAATCTTTTTTGTTTGTTTGTTTGTTTGCTTTTTGGGGTCACACCCAGCGATGCTCAGGGGTTACTTCTGACTTTGCACTCAGGAATTACTCCTGGCAGTACTTGAGGGACCATATGGGATGCCGAGGATGGAACCCAGGACAGCTGCGTGCAAGGCAAATGCCCTACCCATTGTACTATCGCTCCAGCCCCAAGAAAACAATCCTGATACAGAATTTGGGAAAAAATCATGATAATTTCTAACATTGTACAGCTCTAAGCAAAAATCTCAGTGAGTTCAACTGCAAGGTCTGAATATTCACACAGGAAGGTCATTGGTGGAGGGAAGTGGACATGGATGAAGGGATTAGTGTTGAAACCTTGTATGCCTAAAACCCAATCATCAATATATTTGTAATTTCATTGTCACTAAAGAAAATCATGATCAAGATCATCCTGTTGTTCGTCGATTTCCTCGAGCAGGCACCAGTAACGTCTCCTTCTTCCTAGCCCTGAGATTTTAAAAGAGCCATTTCAATGCTCTTTCAGGGTTAGGAGAATGAGACCCATCATTGTTACTGGTATTTGGCATATTGAGTATGACACGGGAAGTTTGCCAGACTCTGCCGTGCGGGCAGGATACTTTTGGTAGCCTGCCAGGTTCTCCAAAGTAAAAATGAGATAATAAGATGTCGCATGGCCACAAATGAGGCTGCGCACTTCTGGGAGCTGGGTTTTATAGTCTCTGCGTCTTGGCCATTGATGGGACCAACCTGGCACTGGCGGAAGCTGGTGGGTTTGACGCCTACCTATTGAAAGATGGGATGTCTGGGTGGAGAAGGCCCAGTCCCTATTCGAGTAGGCTTGGAGACCTCAGCCGCAGGACCCGCATGCCTGGGTTCCTCTGCCAGTTCTTTCATGCATGAGGCCCATCCGGATGTGTGGAGAGTGGTCCCAGCATGGCCGTGGCTGGCTCCGGAGGTCCTCAGCTGCTGGGGCTCTGCTCGGGCAGGGGGGGAGAGAAACTCAACCCTCCCCCTTCAAGGGGCCCCAGTGAGGACAGCCAGGTGTGGGGGCAGGAGACTCTGCGCTGTTCTTTATTATAAAGAAAATAATAATTTAAAAATATTCACATAGCTCTTAGGGGCTATTGTGAGGCATAAGTGACATAGCACATAGTGATACATATTAAGTCCTTCAGACAGAGCCAACTGGGGTGCTGGTAACTCCTCTTTCGCTGGACACAGTGGTCAGTCACCTCTCATGCTGAGCAGAAGTTGATTCTACATGCTGGTCTTGCCGTGGAGGCCAGAATGCTGTGTGAGCCACTAGTTCTCATGTTCACTGAATGGAACATTGGGAACCATTGGGGTTCCATGCCCATCTTCAGTCATCAGCATTATCCTGGTAACACTTGTGGACATTGGAGCGAAGATTCCTGGCGAGAAACTGCTGGGATAGACTTTCTGAAATGTTCCCTGCTACACTGCTCCAGAGGTGAGGTCTGCCCACTCAGGTACTGGGGGAGGAAGGTTAGACCAGGGTGGGAAGCCTCTGCAAAAAGGAGCCACAACGGTTCTCCCTGTATATCACCCAGAATCCAAATGCTAACAACATGCCTGTCCTTCCCCAAGTCAGGGTAAAAGTTAATTTTTCCTAAGGGTTCTCAAAATTGTATAAAGATTTTCAGACAAAATTAGAAGTTTTGAAAGTTAGAGTTTATTATCTTCATTTTTTATTGAACCACTGTGACACACAAAATTACAAAGTTGTTCATGATTGGGTTTCCATAATACAATGTTACAACACCCATCCACCCATTCACCAGTGTATATCTCCCACCACCAGTGTCCCCAGTTTCCTATCTTCCTCCTTCCACCCATGCTCTGCCTTTATATCAGACACTTTTTTCTCTCTGTCTCCTTTTCTCTGTCTTTGTCTCTGTCTCTGTCTGTCTGTCTCTCTCTTTCTCTTTCTCCCTCCCTCCCTCCGTCCCTCCCTCCCTCCCCCCATTTTGGGCATTGTAGTTTGCAGTACAGATCTGGTATATCCCTTAACCTACTTTTAATACTCAGTATTTGTCAGCATGATCATTCCCAGCTATTATTGTCAGCCTGGTTCCTTCTCTATCTTACCTATCCTCCACCCCACACACACTCATAGTTGATTCCAACCATTGACCAGTCATCCTAGATCCTGTTTTCACTGGTTATAGATGATATGTTTCCCAACACACATATATTTATATATAAATAATACCACAAATGAATGCAGTTATTCTATATCTGCTGATGCTGTTCTGTCATTTTTCAATTGTGTTAGTAAATAGGTGTGTCTAAATTGGACACTCAGCCTTAGATGGGTAAAAAAGCAGCCAGACACAAGTTTCTTGTTATTTTACTGTCAAATGTTAGCAACTGTCTAAACTCAGACTCTATCTGTTAGCGAATATAAAACAACTTGCCAACTATACTAATGCCATGAACATCACCGAATGGAAAGTGAATGAATGCAAACCAAAATACAGCTGGATTGTGTACCACAAGTTTATTTCTTAATAAAATTTCCATAGTCTGACACGCAGCTATCTTATTCTTACTATACTGAATAGAAATTTAGTTTTATAACTTAACATTTTTAAGGTCATATGCATGTCTCGTTACGGGAACTGATTCCAATAATTCATGTTTCGCGACAAGAAAGTTCCTTAACCACTTTTCTCTAAGTGGCATACTTTCCAGACTGCAGAAGAAAACAAACACAAAAATCTTTTAAAATAAAACAATAATGGGCTGGGGTGATAGCACAGTGCATAGGGTGCTTGCTTCATGCACGGCTGTTCTGGGTTCCATAGCCAGTATGCCAAATGTTCCTCTGGGTCCACCAGGAGTTATGCCTGAGCACATAGCCAGGATTAAGCCTGGGAATTGAACCCAGGTTTGCTACGTGCAAGGCAAGTGCCCTACCTGCTGTGCTATTGCTCCAACTGCATGTCTGTTGTTTTTATGGGAAAATTCAAAACCACATGATATTAATTTATCTATAACAATCCCTTATAATTTAGAGCAGTTCTATCAAAGAATCTTTACACTTCAGAATGCTAATCAGTTTACTGTTCAACTTAAGGAACAGCAGAAGATAAATAACTTTGTATCCCACTCCAATGGCTTTTTCCTTGCTGAGAATAAACAGGAATCCACTCCCCCCAAACTCAATGTTTTGTTTATTATTATTTGAAGTTCAATTCCCATTTGAGAACTGCCAGATGTAGCAAAATAACCCAAAATAATAATTTAAAAATAAATAAAACATCCATGGCAGTTATGGAGATCACACAGGAATGAAGGGCTTGCCTTGCATGTGACTGACCCTAGTTCTATTCCTGGCACCACATATAGTCCCCTGAGAACCACCAAGTATGACCCCAACGCTTTCCCTCTCAATAATAATAAACAAAACATTGAGTTTGGCAGGGGATGGATTCCTGTTTATTCTCAGCAAGGAAAAAGCCTATTGGAGTGGGATACAAAGTTATTTATCATCTGCTGTTCCTTAAGTTGAATAGTAAACTGATTAGCATGCTGAAGTGTACAGATTCTTTGGTAGAACTGCTCTAAATTATAAGGGATTGTTATAGATAAATTAATATCATGTGGTTTTGAATTTTCCCATAAAAACAACAGACATGGGGCTGGAGCAATAGCACAGCAGGTAGGGCACTTGCCTTGCACGTGGCCTAACCGGGTTCAATTCCCAGCATCCCATATGGTCCCCCGAGCACTGCCAGGAGTAATTCCTGAGTGCATGAGCCAGGAGTAACCCCTGTGTATCACCGGCGTTACCCAAAAACCAAAAAAAAGAGAAAAAGACATGTGTCGTGTTGGTCTTCCAACCCCCAATCCCCACCCTTGCAACTAGTTTTCAACTTTCACATCACTAGTACCTGGGACACTAGAACAATTTTTTCTTCTATAATTATGATATAATTCTCCTTTCAGCCCATTCTCACGGAGTAAGAGGTCAGAGAAAAGATGGTACAACAGGTAAGGTGCTTCCATTGCATGTGGCTGATCCGGGGTTGATTTCCAGCACCCCATATGATCTCCTGAGCAACAACAGGAGTAATTCCTGAGCACAGAGAGAGAGAAGTAACCCCTGAGTCGTGCCAGGTGTGGTACCCCTTCAGAAGGAGGAGGAAGGGGAGAAATAAGAAGAGGACTGTTCAGAAAGAGAGGGATAGACATAGAAAGATTGCATTCATCTGGGGGATATAAAGTAACAAAGTATGAGATTAATACCCAAGAATAGCTGAGATCAGCACCAGGAGGATTACTCCATAACTTAGAGGCCAGCCGGGTATCCTAGAGGAAAGGGCAGCTCAGATAGAGAAGGGAGCACCAAATAAAGGATGTTTGGAGGATCCTCCCAGGAGGGGAGATGCATGTCGAAAGTAGACTATGGACTGAACATGTTTGCCACTCAATGCCTCTTTTGCAGACCACAACACCCAAAAGGAGAGAGAGAACACAGGGGATTGCCCTGCCACAGAGACAGGGGGGATGGGGGGATGGGGGTGGGAGGGATATTATCTATGGTGGTGGAAAATGGGCACTGGTGGAGGGATGGGTATCTGATCATTGTATAATTGAAACCAAAGCACAAAAAATTGTAAATCTACAACTTTAAAAAAAATAAAATAAAATAAAATAAAGGAAAAAAAAAAAGAAGAGGACTGTTGTGTGAATTAGCCCCAGTCATGGACCTGCTAGTTCCCAAGAGTAAGATGACCTTCCTACCACTTTTGTTAAAAGAGTATTCAAATATTCCTTACTTTTGAATTAGTGACTGGTGGTCCATTTTATAATATATATCAACGGGTGCTTCCTGTGAGAAAGAAAAGACAAATGTCAACCTAGACCAATGATTCTGCTCATGCTTGCCTTCCCTCTATTTTTCCATATGTATACTCTGAAGTTTCTAGAATTCTTCCTATTGATTTGTTAGTCTGCATGGGCCAGGCTGTAGCTCTCAATTGGCAAGAAATAATGTTAGGATTATTCATAGGGGCATAAACAATACTACAAGCAGGTAGGGTGCTTGTCTTGGACAAGGCTGACCCAGGTTCAATTTCCAGCATCCCATATGGTCCCCTGAGCACAGCCAGGCGTGATTCCTGATTGCATAGCCAGGAGTAAGCCCTGAGCATTTCCAGGTGGGGTCAAGAAACAATAACAACAAAAATGATGTAAATAATCTCTATACTCAGTGGTAGAGTATATATCTAATATGTATGAGGCCCTGGGTAGCACTGAAGAAAAGTCCATTGAAAAAAAGAAAGGATGGGGATCAGAGCCATAGTACAGTGGGTAGACGCTTGCCTTGTACACAGCCAGCCTGGGTTCATCCCCACCATCCCATGTGGATCCCCAAGCCCCACCAGGACTGATTTCTGAATATAGAGAGCATACAGAGCCAGGAGTAACCCCTTGGTACTGCCAGGTGTGGCCCTCATCTCTGGATGTGACCTAAAAAGCAAAAAAAAAGTAGAACTGTGCTGCTAAAATAGTACACTAGGAAGAGATTCCTGAAAGAAGGTAAAACCAGCAGGGTTCACAGGAGGAATTGTCTTTGAAGCAGGAGGAAAATTCGAGGGAGGAAGTTGTTCCAGCATATAGCTGCTGGCAACAAAAATCATGGAAGTAGGAGTTTTCATCTATTTTAAGGCTGCCCAGAGGCCATACCAAAGAACCAAACTCAACTCTTCCATGTTACAAAGCAGGGCTCCTTAATGACACTGCCAAGAGAGCCCCATTGCCCACCACCCTGTTACCTGTCTCTATTTGAACAAAGAGGACCAAGCAACTAAGGAAGAGTTTACCGGAGGTTTGCTTTTGTTGAACTTGATGGTGAAGTCCACTGAGGTTTCTACTTTGGGTACAGGTATCTGAGCAGTCGGCATGCTCCAGTATGCGCAGTAAAGATAGAGAAAGGTGTCACCCAAGTCTTTTATCCCCTGGAATTCTGTATAATGGACACAGTCTGAGTTGTGATTCCACATCTGTCTCAAAGACAAAAAGAAAGTGCACTTAGACAAAGAGAGTCAGGTCTTTGTTCTGGTCCTCCAGTGCAGTGTTTGGCAAAGGTGGGGAGGCAGGATTGTCCTGGGGTGACCAAAGGTGGTAATCACATCAAGCAGGGGAGAGCCAGGGCCAGAGATATAGTACAGTAAGTAAGCACACAACCAAACCAAGTTCCACTGCCAGATACCCATTTGATTCTCAAAGCGTTGCTAGGAGTGATCCTTTAGTGCAGAACCAGGAATAAGCGCTGAGCACCACTAGGTGTGCTCCAATAAATCACCAACAGGGCTAAGGAGTGGTATCACCTTGAGAATCATGGGCCAGGTGGTAGGACAAGGCAAAGCGCAGGAAGAAAATAAAGTCAAAAGAAGGAAACATGAGCAGTAGTTTGGATGGAGCAATTTCTAAAATTTTTTCACATCAGACCTCCCACCTGACCTTGTTTCTGTTCTGTGTCCCCACCAACGTTTTAACAGTTGACCCCTTTATTTCTTACCATAGCTTCTAGGTGAGATGCAATTCTCACCAGGCAGAGAAATGCTGCTCTAGATGAAAGCAACACCAACAGGAGGGGTTACTCACTTGCTACTAAAATCATTTCTAGTGTTTGTGGGTGCTGGAACCACACCCAGATGTGTTCTGGCTTTCTCCTTGCTCTGTGCTCAGGGGTCACTCCTGATAGGGCTTGGGGGACTCTATGGAGTGTCAGGGAACAAAACTGGGTCAGCTGCATGCAAAGCAATTACCTAAACTATTGTATTCTCTCCTCTTTGATTGGGATTCAGACTAGAGCCAGGGCCTAGTCACCTCCACAGGTAAAGGAGCTGAAATGAAACAAGGAAGAAACCTAACACTTGAAGTTTGGAACTGTGGAGACACACACTTGGCAATAGTGTCTACTGCTGTCCAAACACCAAATACACGTACTTATGAGCCACTTTACAAGCCCTTCCTTAGGAGGCAATGGTGAATCACTGTGAAATAGTAGAAAGTGATGATAACAGGGACTGGAGGAATATTACAGCAAATAGGGAATTAGCCTTGTACGTGGCTGTCACCCCATATGGTCCCCCAAGCCTGCTAATACTGATAGCTGAGTACAGAGCCAGGAATAAGCTGAATACCACAAGGTGTAGCCCAGGAAACAAAAAGTGATTATAACTTATTTTCTACTCACCCCATTGCAGGAGCCCCAGTGCTGTGGCTAGAAGGTTAATGAGGCAAATTTCATAAGGTATTTATGAAAATCAACCCAAACCTCATCCCCAGATTGGCCAAAGGAGCTACAAAGTTAGAAAATAAATGAGTCAGGCAATAGAATTGGTCAGATCTCTCACATCTCCTGATCACATCCTTCGAGAAGCTTCCACTGACAATGCACACAGCTTACTAGTGTCTATGCCCACAGAAGGTCTGAAGTAGGTCTGAGTCCTTGCACTACACTTTGAATGCTATAGATATTCAATAAGTACAGTTCAATTCAATGTCCTTGAGTTGGCTTTTGCATTACAGGAAACATCTGGATTGAAATGGAAAAAGAAATAAATAATAAAAATAAAAGGGGGGTAGGGTATGGTGCCGCCAGCAGGTCAATCTGTACCTGTGAGGTGAGTGCATCAGCAGCCTGATGGCACCGTCAGACTTTCAGATACCCCAAAATTGCTGCTGTGCCTTTGGCCAGACCCCAAAAACTTGGGGCAAAGTTTACCAAGAAAGTAAATGGCCAAAAGTTAGGTATGTGGGAAACACACCCACAAACCACCTCCAGCTCAGTTATATAATTGGAGGCACGGCCTCTCTGCTTCCTGATCGAATTGGTTAATGGCCATGACCCCAGAGACTCAGAAACAAATCTCAGAACCCAAAGGCTTTTGGCAGAAATGCGTCCTGTTCCTGCAGTAGGTTACTGGCGCTGGGCCACTCCACGTGGTAATAGGCTTTGTGCCTTGGCCTGTTCCCCCCAGAGGCCCGTTGATGGCCATCCTCCAGAAGCCACAGGACAGTCAGGTTTGGGCCTGCAGTGATGAGATACGTGGGGCCTCACCAGATGGGGGTGGAACCGGCCCTTTCCTCCCCATCTCAAAGAGACCCCAAGTCGCCGCCTACAAACAGCCTCTCTGGCTCCCGATCAAGCTGATTAATGGCCATGATCCCAGAGACTCAGATACAAATCTCGAAACCCAGCAGCTTTTGGCAGAAATGCATCTGGACCACATACAATGTGGTCACCACCTCAGAGCTTATTGGAAAGCCAGGTATGAGCCGGCAATGACGGGCCAGCTGCAGTCTCAAGGGAAGTGGGGCAGTACCGGCTCGTCCTTCACGCCCTACCGAGATCACGAGTTGGCCCCCATGAGCGGCTCTCCGGCACGGCCATGGCTCCAGAGACAAAAGGACTTAGACCAGAGCCCAGCAGCTTGTGGCAGAAAAGTGAATGGTCCATGCATTAAACTACAGTGCCATGCCTCCCCGGGAGGGAAAGAGTGTTGCTCCCTTATGCCTTCCCCCCACCCCCCCAGCAGCAAGGTGGCTGCCGCCTCAGAGCTTATTGGAAAGCCAGGTATGAGCTGGTGGTGACAGGGCAACTGCAGTCTCATGGGAAGGGGATCGGTATCAGCTCGTCCTTCACGCCCTACCGAGGTCACGAGTTGCCCCCCACGAGTGGCTCTCCGGCACAGCCATAACACTAGACGCACAGAATCCAATCTCGTAATTATCTGGCTCTTTGCAGAAATCCAAAATCGCGTGCAGCCATGCGACATTATATGATTCTCATAACCAGCTATAGAAAACAAAGTATTTCACAATGCCTTTTCAGCAATTCTGATTGTTGGGGGGGGGGAATTCTAAACAATAATGGTGCATCTTTTGTTGAAATAACGAATGTAATCGATGTAGAGAAAAGTTAAGTGGAAATTATCTGCCTCACAGGCATTGGAAGGGGTGAAAGGGAAGGTATATTGGGGTTCTTGGTGGTGAAAAATGAGTACTGGTGAAGGGAGAGGTGTTTGATCATTGTATGACCGAGACTTAAGCCTGAAAGCTTTGTAACTTTTCCCACAGTGATTCAATAAATAAATATAAGAAAAAAATAAATAAAATAAAAGGGGAGAACGGGGTCCAGAGAGATAATATAGGAGTTAAGGTTCCAGTCTTGCATGCATAGGACCCCAGTTAGATCCCTATATACAGTCCCCTGAGCACAGAGCCAGGAGAAAGATCTAAGCACAGTCAGATGTGTCAGATCTCCCCCTCCCAATCATCCCCCAACAATAATAAACAACCACAAAGGAGAGAAAAACATGAAGTTGACTCTGTGCTCAGAAATCACTCCTGCTGGTGCTCAGAAGACCCTGTGTGACACCTGGAATTGAAACCCAGTGGGCTGCATGCAGGGCAGTGCCCTCCCCACTGTGCCATCTCTCCCGCACTTTGCCTCATTTTTAGCATGGGGCAGGCACGATGTCTGGGTAGCTCCAATGTGTATGCTTTGGAGCTTCAAATGCAATGAACTCAAAATCCTAGTGAGTGGTATGTTAATTTGAGGCCATTCTTGTCTGTGCTCAGTGCTTACTCCTGGCACTGTGCTCAGGGGTCACTCCTAGCAAAGATCAAGGGACGCTATGAAGTATTAGGGATCAAACAGGGTTTCATTGCATGCAAGGGAAATGCCCTACCGATGTTTTATTTTGTAATAAATAAAATGTATTTTAATTATAATTAAATATTATAATTATTATTTAATATTATAATTTTAATTATAATATGGGGCTGGATTGATAGTACAGCCAGTCGGGTGCTGGTGTGGCATGTGGCAGAACTGGGTTTGGTGCTTGACAACCAGGCGGCCCCCTGAGTCCTCCCTGGAGTGATCCCATTGAAGACTCAAGAGTAAGCCCTTAGCACTGAGCAGGTGTGACCTCACCAAAATAAAAAGAACTCTTGGCGCGGAGTGATAGTACAGTGCGTAAGGCATTTGCCTTGCATGAAGCTATCCCAGGTTTGTTTGCCAGCACCACATGTGGACCCATGTGCACCATCAGGTGTGATTCCTGAGCACAGTGCCAGGAGCAAGCCCTGAGCACTTCTGGGCGTGAGACCAGAAATACAAACAAACAAAAGAGCCCTTAGTGAATCCCAGATAAATCATGCATATACGTGAGAGCCAGAGACAGGCAGAAAGGAAATGAATTCAGAGGCGTGTATATCTGAGTATGCAGACAATACATCCCATAATAGTGAGATCAGACTTTTTGAGCCATCCGCATCTTCCGTTAGTATAAACATTCTTAAATTGGTTATGGGCTGAGAAAAAATACAGCAGGATAGCATGTACCTTGCATGCACCTGACAGGGTTTGAACCCTGGCACCACATCTGGTCTCCTGAGCACTGCCAGGACTGATCCCTGAACACAGCCAGATATAGACTGGAAATTAAATTTAAAAAACAAAAAAGGTACATCATGGCAAACTCCATTTGTGTGTGTCCGTATTGGGGGTAGAACCCAGGCCCTCATACATGCAAACACACTACCATGGAACTTCATCCCTAGCCAAAAACTCCTGTTTTCTTTGGATATGTGTCACACAAACTGTTCTCAGGTATCACTGTTGGAAGTGCACAAGGACTCCTGTGTGTTTCCAAGATCCAACCTGGGTCAACCACATACAAGGCAAGTACCCTACATGCTGCAGTATCTCTCCAGTCCCTAAGCTCCTATTTTCAAGGGGCATCACATTCTTTAGGCTACTAATGCCTTGCCTGAGAGCAGTATTTCCCACAGTTAGAATGCTGCCCCAGAAGAGATGCTGGAACAATGGGGGTGGGTGCTGTTGAAGTCCAGGTACCACTTTGGGGAATATGCTTTCTCACAGTTCTCTTAAAGAAGGAAGAAGGTCAATTAAAGAAGGTCAATTTCCGGGGGAACTAAGGATAGGGGGGGAGCTAGTTAATTGAAAGAGACGGGGAAATGGGACATTACACCAAATAAGTTTGGGAGCTACTGGTGGATAATAGCACCAGCATGTAGGATATTTTACTAGGGAAACAGAAGGTCACTGGGAAATCAAAGTATGCTTTTCAGCTTCAAAGATTAAGCCTGTGTTGATCTTGGAATCCAGATGGGGACAATGACTATTCAGGTTGCCTTTGATCTTATCTCCGAAAGTGGATTTGGGGGATTTGTTTGCTTGTTTTGGGGCCACAACATCTATTCTCAGAGCTTAGTTTTGGCTCTGTGCTCAGACATCATCCTAGCAGGGCATGGGGAATCATATAGGGTGCGACATCCATCAAACCTGGGGCAACTACTCACTGTACTCTCACTCCGGACCCTCCTAAGGATTATGGACTTGCAGGTTTTCTCTTTTTCAGGGGATAGGTGGGGGGAGTGGAACATACCCATACATCCAGCAGTGCTCAGAACTGACCCCTGCTGGTGCTCAGGGGATCCTGTGCAATGCTGGAGATTGGCCATATGCATGGTAGACTTCAAACTAGCCATCAAGTTATTGCTCTGCACCCTTGTGTGCCAAGCTGGAGTGGGGAATTCACTTACCTTCAACAACTCATTAATATGATTAAGGCCAGTTTCTTGCGTGAATTCCCCATGTGTGAGTCTTTGTAGGGATCCAACGTGTGTTCTCATTGCTGCAAACAATACATGAAATCATTCTGGGCCAGGTACTGTGGCAAACATTTAGGTGCCCAAAGAAAAGTACTACCTGTGAAATGTGAGGTTACAGAATCCATGATTTTCATAACCAACTTTAGAGCAAAGTCATTCAAAGCTTCTTCTTCTTCCATTGTCTTTCTTCCCATCGCTAATATAGAACTTCCAGTCACGTCCAATGGCTCCACAAATGTAACCTTTTTATCTGTGCTCATTTTCTTTCACCTGGAAAAAAACTCGGAACTATTAGCCATCACCTCATGCTCAAGAAATCCTCTATGTAGACCAATGCTGAGTATCCCAAAAGACTCACAAGACAGAAAGTGGTTGTCTCCAGGGAAGGGATGAGGGAGAAGAACCAAGATTTCCTGTTTTCCTGAAAACCTAACAGTTTCAGATTCTCACAATCTTGGAGCTGGAGAGATAACACAGAATTAGGGTTCTTACCTTGCATGAGGTCAAACCAGGTTCAATATCCTGTGTTTCATATTGTAACCCAAGCACCACCAGGAGTGATTCCTTAGTGCAGAGCCAAAAGTAAACTATGAATATTGCCAGGTGTGGCCCAAACAAAAAAAACCCAGATTCTCACAACCCTGACAAAGTTAAATCAGGATATCATCAAATCATGTCTAATATTTTGAGAGTTCTCACAATATTCATCCCATTCCCAGGGATCCTTAAACTTTTTCTTGTGTGATCCCATTTTGCTTGAGACATGAAACATGAACGAGTGCTTCTAAAAACACCTTGGATTTATACCACAGGTGACTCTGAAGCCTCTTTTTGGTCACTGTCCATTCAGAAAACGTTTTCTGTTGCTAAATTTTCACACACCTCCCGCATATATTCATATATGTGAGCCAATACAGGGACATACCCCATAGGCTTTTTTTGAGTGAGTCACAGCAGGCAGTGCACAGGGGTTACTCCTGACTCTGGACAAAGGAATCACTCCAGGTGGGCATGGGGGATGATATGGGGTGCAGGGGATTGAACCAGGATCATTTGAGTGCAAAGTAAATGCCCTACCCACTGTACCATCGCTCCAGCCCCTGACATCCCACAGTTTAAGAACCAAGATTTTGGGGTCAGAAAAATGAGCTTAACAGAATAACTGTAGGCTATGCAGATAAGATAGCCAGGTTTATTTCCTTCACTGCTGGTGGGAATGCCGACTGGTTCAGCCCTTTTGGAAAACAGTATGAACGATTCTCAAAAAATTAGAAATTGAGCTCCCATTTGACCTAGCAACACCACTCCTGGGAATATATCCCAGAGAGGCAAAAAAGTACAGTGGAAGTGACATCTGCACTTGTTCATTGCAGCACTCTACAATAGCCAGAATCTGGAAAAAACCTGAGTGCCCGAGAACAGATAAATGGTTAAAGAAACGTTGGTACATTTACACTTAATCACTTCACTTAACTTCCCGTTAGTCGTCGATTTGCTCGAGCGGGCGCCAGTAACGTCTCCATTTGTCCCTGTCGCGTGCTAGTGTAGCCCAATGGCATCTGTACGCTCCAGGAACATGAAGAGCCTCAAACCGATCGTTCATGATCTTGACGAAGAAGTCTGACCATCTGGTAGGTGGGCGGCCACGCGGTCTTTTGACATCCCGTGGAATCCAGTCAGTAACAGCTCTAGTCCAGCGGTTGTCTTTAAATCTCATTACGTGACCAGCCCATCTGATTTTCGACACCTTGGCAAATGAGACAGCGTCCCTGATTCTTGATCGTCGACGGATGTCAGAACTCCGGATTCTTTCTCTCATTTGAGTGAAACGTGATATTCCAAGCATAGATCTTTCTATTCTTCTTTGGGAGACCTGAATAACGTTCTCATCTTGTTTGCGTAGGGCCCAGGTCTCTGAGGCATATGTTAATGCAGGAAGAACAGTGGAATCAAAGAGATGTGCCCGGAGCCGGAGGTTCTTCGTCCTCTTAGCTATTTCTTCGACGTTCTTGAAGGCGTTCCAAGCCGCTCTCTTCCTCCTGCGCAGCTCGGGTGCCAGGACATTTGTCATGTTGACCTCTCGACCTAGGTACACATAGCTGTTGCATTCGGAGATGGTCGTTCCATTGAGAGCATATGGGGCATCAGGAACGAGGCTGTTTCTCATAAACATTGTCTTCATAAGATTCAGCTGTAGTCCTACCTTTCCACACTCACGGTCAAAGTCGGCCAGCATTTGTGCCGCTTGGCTGATGTTTGGTGTTATTAAAACAATGTCATCAGCAAAGCGGAGGTGGTGTAGTTGCTGATCATCTATCTTCACTCCCATTCCTTCCCATTCCAGTCGTCTCATGATGTTCTCGAGGGTGGCACTGAAGAGTTTAGGTGAAATGGTATCACCCTGCCGCACCCCTCTCTTGACATCAACGATCACTTCTTTGTAGAATGGTGAGATCCTGGTAGTGAATCCGCAATACAGCTCACGGAGGATCTTGATGTATTGGGCTTGAATGCCCTGATTGGCTAGGGCTTCAATGACTGCTTCCGTCTCAACAGAATCAAAGGCCTTCTTTAAATCAATGAACGTTAAACAGAGCAGCATCTTGAACTCCCAAGAAACCTCGATGAGCTTGGTTATCGTATGGATATGGTCGATGGTGCTGAATCCTTTGCGGAACCCGGCTTGCTCGCATGGTTGTCCTTCATCTAGAGTTCTGCCAATCCTATTTAGGATGACTCGAGTGAACAATTTGTAAATGACAGACAATAGGCAGATCGGGCGATAGTTGCCAATGTCATGGATGTCTCCCTTCTTGAACAGTAGTACGGTCCTACTGGTTTTCCATTGGGACGGAACCTTGCATTCAGACAGGTAGCGAGTGAAGAGCCGAGCCAGTGTATTGATGAGTACTGACGGCAGGTTCTTCAGGTGTTCAGGTCTGACCTTGTCTGGGCCGGGTGCTGTTTGTTTCTTTACCAACGAAATGGCGTGTCGGATTTCGGAAGGGAGAACGTTGGAAACGACATATCCATCCTGTGTAATTTGGTATGTCGGCAAGTGGACATGGCTATCGAAGAGATTTGAGTAGAAGTCATGGATAATCTTCTCCATTGCCGTTCTGGAGGATGTGATGGATCCATCAGGACGTCGGAGGGCAGTCATCTTGGTCTTGTAGTTGGCGAAGGACAGGCGGGCGTTACGAATACTTTTCCCAGCTTCTGCCGCATCTACCAGTACTTCTGCTCTTCTCTCTTTGAGGTCTTCCTTGATCACATCTCTGCACTGCTTTGCGAGCTCGGACGTTAGCTTGCGGTTGCCTGAGGCATGCGCCAAACCACGCTGGGGAATTAGCTCAAGAGTTTTCGAAGATAGGCGATTTTTTGTGGCTATCTCTCTCTTGGCGTTCTTCGCACATTCATGGAGGTGTTAAACCAGTCGATCTATTCCTCGTCAATGTTGTCAACAATGGCATCTTGCCATGTTGCCGCAATAGTACCAAAGAGTTTCCAGTTGGTGGTCATTCTGGGAGTTCTCTTTTTGAACTTTGCAGCCCTTTCTCCCCGCTCTGTGAAGTAGAATTTTGCACGAAGGAGACGGTGGTCCGATCCCGTTCGAAATTTTGGGACAACAGCGACATCAGTCAGGCAAAACCGTTGATTGAATATGATGTGGTCTATTTCGTTGTGGAATCGTCCACCAGGAGACTCCCATGTCCATCGTTTAGATTCTGCCTTCTGGAACTGTGAGTTACCATGAATGGTCTTGGTCGACATGATGAACTCAGACAGTCTCTCACCCTGTTCGTTCCATTCTAGGCCATGGGTCCCGATGTGAAGTTCTTCAGCTGATCTTCTCGGTCCTATCTTGGCATTAAAAAATCGACACTACTTCCACTACCCAGCCGTCGCCACACTACAGGACACTTTCCGGACCCGCGTGGCAGCTCCGGCCAAGACCCACGCACGACTGAAGACCCACAGAACAAGATAAGCGGAACTCTCTGAGACCTTGGACTCCAGGCTCGGCGGACCCAGGGACAGAGCTTCTCTGCTTGCTCCCACCAACCACAGGTGACAAAGGGATTCTAATCAGGAGCCCCACCCTACCCTACCCTGTCTGCTTCCACCAACCACCAGAGACCCAGGGATCGGATTGCACACAGAAAACTCACCCTACCCCTACCAGGATCAGATAAATACCCCACTGGCAGACCTCCACTACCAACACTGCCTCCACTACCCAGCCGCCGCCACACTCCAGGACGCTTTCCGGACACATCATAAGACACTAAATACCCATCTTCCGGAATTGCCGTACCATATTTGATAGGGTTCAAATATGGTAACACCTAAGAGGGCGATTAGAGGTCGCCCCAAAAGCCTCTATCCCTCTCAGAAAGACTGGCAAGCTACCGAGAGTATTCCGCCTGCACGGCAGAGCCTGGCAAGCTATCCGTTGTGTATTCGATATGCCAAATCCAGTAATTACAATGGGTCTCATTCACCTGACCCTGAAGGCTTCACCGACATGGCAGCACCGAGAAAGATGAGAAAGGAGAGGCCGATAAAATCTCAAGGCCGAACTAGGCTGCCACAACGAAGGAAGACAAAAATGATCGTCTGTACTTTCAATGCACGTACGCTAGCATCAGATGCATCCATCGAGAACCTGATGGTACAAGCGCGAATGATCAAGTACGACATCATTGGTCTGACCGAGACAAGAAGGCACGAATCTCACCATGCCGTTTTCGACACTGGAGAAGAATTATTCCTCGGAACATGCGATAAAAGAGGTGTTGGAGGCGTCAGTGTCCTTGTCAACACAAACTTAGCCAAGAGCATTGATTCATTCGAATGCCTAACAACCCGAATCGGACGTTTACATTTGAATAGATGTGGCTCACTGCCTGCAGTTTCTATCTTCGTTGTCTACGCACCAACATCTCATTATGATGAAAGAGAAATCAAGAAGTTCTATATGGAGCTAGAGAAGTTCTATAAAGAAGACCACACCTTCTACAAGATCATTGTGGGTGATTTTAATGCCAAGATAGGACATTTACACAATGGAGTACTATGTAGCCATTAGAAAAGACAAAGTCATGAAATTTACACACAAGTGGTAAAGTATCATGTTAAGCGAAATGAGTAAGAAAGAAAGGGATAGACATAGAAATATTGCATTCATCTGGGGAACATAAAGTAACAAAATAGGAGACTAACACCCAAGAGTGGTCGAGATTA